CTTTGTCGATTCAGGAAGTTAATTATCATTTGAAAGTTGCGGGAAAGCAGCTGTTTTACGAATTAAAGAAATAAAACAATATTTATGTAATACTCAAAATGTAGTATATTAGAACTTCTGACGTGCAAATTTTACTTCTGGATAGTGAAAATTTGAAAAATCCTCATGTCAGAATACTGCAAATTTTTCACTGCTTTCCTCTTCTTAATTCTTTCGTCGTGATTAATTTTTTAAATAAAAATGATTGTGTATATTTTATTTTGCGAATAATTATATAAATTATAACTAATATTCAATTAATTTTTGATACAATATTTTTTTTATTAAAAAAACATGTATTTATTAAAATCACTTTTTTAAAAATCATATTTTTAATCATACTACCTTCCAAATTATAAAAATTTCATTTACATGCCTGTATTTTGTAAAACTTTAGACGTTGTTTTGAAAAAAAGTTTCTTTTAATCTCTACAGTCCCTTTTGATGTAATGCATAGAAAATCTATAATAATATAAAAAAATATTGTGCAAAAGCGTGAGAACTTGATGCAACAAATTATCTCTTGTACTAACAATAAGAACTAGCTGTTACCAACGTCCAACAAACTGAATTTTCATTCACTAGTCACTCGTCTCTCTGTTGTATCAATATTTGATTAACATTTCAAATCTTCTACACTCCTACATAATATTTGCATTCCAGTTAGAAATAAAAATTTCCTTATAAAAGTCGAAGCGTGAGAAACTTTCCACATGATTTAACTTCTTATGACGAAATTTACTGCCTTTAAGCTGGTAAATATCAGCTAGTATATGCTAAGCAAACTTGTGTTTTTGCAACCGACCGGTTTGGCGACAGGATGCCAAAAAAGTAAGAAAAAAAAAAAAGGAAAAAAAGACTCATCACGTGTTCCTCGAAGCGGGTAAACGATCGTACACTTTCACGCGACATTCATGATCCTTAACTCTGCTGTGTACCTTTGGATCATTTACGTTTCTCTAAGATTGAAAAATAAAATCGAGTTTAAACGAGATAGAAAAGAATTTTCAAAACTGAATTATTCATCCTTTTTTGTTTGCTAAACTTTGCCAATGATTTCACATTTATTATTCTGATCTATCAGTTTAATATATTGAAGAATTGAATCGAATTTAAAAATTCTATCATGTACTACAAAATATTGCATGATTGCAAATGAAAAGTGTCGAAAGACTTTCAAGTGAAAGTGCACATGCTGTAGGAAGTTGATGACTATCTTAGTGTCAGTGCTTTAATTCTTCATTCCATCCTTCCTCGATCAATTTACGACAAAAGTCGATCGCGCGCGCGCAGGAAAGAAAAATTGCAATTGCAAAGGCGGAAGCAAAATCAAGCGAAATAAACATCGGATTTTCTGGCGAATCGTTATCGTTCGATAAAAAGTAATGGTTTTCCACCGCGTTACGTGCACTCGTCCTACGTGGTTGGAATATATGACTATGCATGAAGGAGGTGTTTGACCTAGTCGCAATCTGCCTACATCGATGCACTCGCCTGTCTACACGTTCTGGGTACAACCTACGTGTAAAGTATTGCATACGCGAGCGTACCGGTCGCGCCTCAATAAGTGGGCGCATCACGTCGTTAGGAGTATACCTTTGCCACGTGAGAACGATAGATATAGAAAGAAACTGCATCAAGAATTAATCATTTGCACCCCGAGGCAATAGAAAAAGACACACTCACATCACAAGAAGAAGATGAATTATCGATGTGGTTGAAACTAGATAAAGAAATAGATTCTCTGTTAGGGGAATTTTTGGTGATTCGAGAGTTAAGAATTGCTTAGTAATTAAAAAGAAATACGTTATGATTTATTATCCTATGATTATTAATATAAATCACATTTATACTAGAATATCTGTATTATAAATTTATATTTTACTTGAATCTTAATTTGCTTCGAATTGATTTACATTAATTTTAATTTAATCCAAATTTTTTATTCAATATTTATTTCAATTTTCACTAATAAATGTGATTATTTTTATTAAAGTAATTTTTATTAAAATTGTTTATAAAACGTAATTCAAAACTCTTCTCTTGGGGAATCAGAATTTTCCAAACAGTACAGCAATTACATTCCGCACAGATTATGTAAATTTATTCATACAAAACATTCATTTTTAAAAAATCTAACCAAATTCCCGCTGAACTTTGCTTTTGTCACTTTTGTATCTTGAATTTCAAAATTTTTAAAATCGTCTCTTTGCTTTTTCGTTATTGGATCTCTTGTAATATAATTATAAGTTGAAAAACTCATTTTTAATATAGGTAAGTTTATATAATAATAAAAAATTAATGATAGTGATAATTTCATTTATGCGTGTGAAAAGTATTTATCTCTACTAATATATGATAATTAAATTCCTTTATCAAATGTAGTTTTTTAAAGAAACATTTCGTACAAATAAGGACTCTCAACTTTTCTTTGAAAATAACTGCACAAATACATTTGCAATAAAGAAAACTATGTTCAAATGTTTGCTTGACCTTCTTTTACTATTTATGCGTGCTAAATCTTTGATGACAAGACCCACTTATTAAGATACATTCAGTATCTAGACATTTCAAACACACGTAATCTACTAATTTCGTTCAGAAATATTCCGAGTACGTTCATCAAACCAAATGTTGAATCAGAATCATTCTTTTTTTAAAAGCTAACGACTTTTTGCTGAAAAATATTAATACGAGTGTGCACATGTTATATACTTCCTCATGTTATATTTAGACAATTCTGGTTGCTAAATTTTAGACTTTTACGTAAATCTATATTTCTGAGAGTATAATAAGAACGATCATTTAGGTATTTTTATAGATTTTGTTTTTTTATACTTGTGCAATTTCGCGGTTTAAAACTAAAAATCCGCAGTCTAGTCATAGCGAAAGTTTTAACGAGGCTTATGTTTCTTGTAGGCATCACAAAACCTACCAACAGTAGTTAAAAATAAAAATCAATGTAATACGAGTACGTATTGTTACAATATTTAATTTTCAGGAATTCTCATTTATCTTTCATTTAGTTAAAATTTATTATATCTTATAATTTTAAATCCATTTTTATTTACTATATAAAAAAAGTATAAAACTTCTTTCTTAAGTACTATAATAATAGTCTTAAGTACTATATATAATAATCTTCTTAAGTACTATAATCTTATATATTATAGTACTTAATAATAATCTTCTTAAGTACTATAATAATAATGATTACATAATTTCAATTACGTGAATAAATTTACATCATG